CTATCTCATATGATGTTTACGAACTATTTCCATACGATATATACATATACACATATATACATATATATGTACTCCCTCCCTATCTCATATGATGTTTACGAACTATCTCCATACGATATATATGTATATATATATACAATACATTGTAAAAAACATGCGTCAGAAATCTTCTGCGTGAACATGTGAAGTATGCTTTATGTTTCTAACCTACAATGACCATATATACATTTAGGGGGTACATACTCTTGAAATATATATATATATATATACATATGCTCGCCCCCTCCAAGATCCATGTCTGCAGGTTTCCAGATTCTGGATTTCCTGATTTCAGGCTCTTTGCAGGACGTAGGTTTCTACATTCCAGATTTCCAGATTTGCACACCCGCAGCTTCCGGAGTCAGATTTCCAGATTTGCACGCCCTAAGCTTCGAGAGATTCCAGATTTTCCGAGATCTGGAATCTGGAAACCTGAACTCTGTTAACTTTGTTACCGCAACTCTGGAATCTAGAAACTTAGGGCGTGCAAATCTGGAATCTCTGCCAACTTAGGGCGTGCTGAGCATCAGACACGGCCAAAGCGAGCATCATGAACATCAGTCGGTTTCGGGACTGGTGCCTAAAGCAAAACCGCCTGGTCCATTCAGCTCCCCTCCAGCCGAAGTTTTAAGTCAATGAGTGCTCATCAAAGGGTCTAGTGAAAAGGAACATGTGACGGGTGCGCAGCTGTACACAACCAAGTGTGACGCAAAGCCTCAAAAGCCTACTGAACTCTTGCAGTACACACAGCCATGAAAATCCATCCGGAGGAGGTGCGGTTTAATCAAGCAAAGGAGGCAACTGCAGATATGGTCCTACGTGAGATGCATGAGCATGTGTGTGTGTGGGTCCTAAGCCAGTTGGGATGATTAACATCCCAAATCTTCCGATGCGAGATCCACTCGAATGGATGTATTTGTTTGATGTTGTTTTTTGGTCTTCTGATAACTCTAATTCTTTTACTGGGGAAGGCGAGCTATAGGCAGCTATAGTAACGTTTGTACATGTGCATATACATGTTATAATACAGATATATTGTCAAAGTACTTGCCATCCAATACAGCTAAAAGTCTCAAACGCTTCATCGACATCGTGCATGATGTGCCCCCCCGCCCGAAAATGTTGACCGAGATCAAGTCAAGGCGATTCGCAAAGCCAAGAGTTTCCAGGAGTTGCCCGAACCACTGCGGTTGAAGAAAATCCCACCCTTCGAGTTTTAATCGCAGTATTTCCTCATTCCGCAAAGTAACGGCAAGATTACCGTCTTGACGCACTACTGTACATCCTCGGCCAAACCAAGTTATTCAGACATTCATCCGGGGTACGGGCTATGAGGTCGCGTGGGGCAGCGGGAACAAAGTCGTGAAATGCAAAGCCCCGCAGTGGATATTGGAGCAAATGGGTGGCACTCAATACAGACGCTTTTCACTCTCAAGCCAGAGCCTTATCTAATGGTTTGCTGTTTGTATACAAGCAAACCTGGTTTTGGGTGGGCTGCTTTCTCAAAAGACTGGCGCAATGGCAAGTATAACCACACATAGACATAACAAACAAAAGGAAGAAACGACCCGCTTCATGATCGATTTTGAGCACATCGAATGACGAGGCGCAGGATGCAGGATGGGATATCATCATCAACGAAGGCGAGCGGGACAAGGGTGAGTTGAGGCAAGTTCGTTGGATTCGCAGGCGCATCAATCGGGAAGGTTCGCCAATCAAGGGATGGCCCGAAAAGCTTGTTCAGCGAGGCCTTGACAGCCGTGCAAACGACGGGTGTTTGGCTTCACTGACCAGGTACGACCTCACCATGCAGGATTTCGAGCCATCGTTCGTGCAGGGTGTCATGGAAACGGTAGTCCCATACCTACTGGATCACAGGTTGTGGCTTGTGGGCGAAGCGGGGAAGGGTAAGACGCCACTGGCGTGCACACTCGCCATGGCATTCAGCCGATACCACGGTGGCAATGTGCTCATCGGATATCGATTTCTTCCGAGGGTTGCCTTTCAACAAAGCTATTCCGGCATTGAATGACGATGGCGACATTTCGGACGAGTCTATCAAGAAAAAGAAAGCGTTTTGTGATGTAGGCGGTACGGAAAGCATTCTCAGAGAATGCCGGACGCCGTCAAATTCACAAAGCACCAACTGCGCATCATCATCGACAATTCGTACAATGACAAGGACAAGGACACCCCCAGCATGTGGCATCAGAACATCTACCACTGTGATTTCATCAGCATCGTCCGTCCAGCGATCGGCCATATCTCCGATGCAGACACTCGTGCTATTCTCAAAAGCAGTGTGTCTATCGTCTTCGGCCACGACTCCATATTCATTCGATTCCCCTCCGAACGGGTTACAAGCGTGACTCGATTCCCGTGGCATTTGAAAGACATTCGTTCAGATAAGAGCAAGGCCAGGTTCTCCAATACCAAGCTTGATGGTCCAGTGCCCCCCGACTACCACAATAGGGTCGATACAGAGCAAGCTTGACTACATGAAGCAATTCGACGTCATGAACACAGTAGAGCAGCACAACAACATGCCCAACACCCCCCCCCCCACCAGCAGGCACCAGAATCACGACACAGCGAGAAGAATTTGCAGACGCAAACGCAGGACTCGCGAATATGTGCAACGGGGAGGCGCCAAGTGCATACAGTCCGGAGCCTCCAGTACCCAACAAAGTCAAGCAAGAGCAATTCGAGCAGCCATGCGCGCTGTCTTCCTGCGAATTTTGCCTTCAGCCGTGCCTTGGGCCCTGGTGGTGTCATTGAGCTCTCTTCCCCACCCTCCGGCATGAGAGCGGTCAAGGCTCGCAGCGACTCGCATGTTGCAGACTCCCAGGCTGCTATTCCCAACCGCATTTTTGCGAGAATGGATGACAACGACGAGGCTGATGAAATGGACGTGGCATCGGGGGAGGAAGAGTCGAGTTTCTCTCTGAGGTTGCCACGGATGACGATGATGACGAGGACGTGAATGTGCTCGGACATGGCGGGTCTATTTGGTCTATTTATGATGAGAACTAAATTTTCGAAGCACAGATGTGTACAGTGTGGGAGCACGGAAAGCCTGGAGCCAATACTGGTGTTTGAATCAAGCGTTCTTAAAGTTGGTTTGGTTGCCGTATATTAGGCTAGATGTATGCTGCACCTATACGAGAAATGGCGCGCAGCCATAAAGCCGGCTAGTTTTCAGAGGTTTTGCATAGCACACATGACGACATGCCGAAGCATGCACGTGAAAAGTTGAGATTGCTGAAAACATGCTGCCATGCCTCGTGTGTCACGATGTCGCATGTTGAAGCCCACTCATTCGAGACTTGAGTTGTTTGCATGCCGTCATCAGTCAGTCAGTTAGGATTTCCATTTACGCAATTAAAGATTTTCGCAAGATGGCGATGAAATCGCCACGTTTCCTTGTCCGAAACGTGGTAAGCAGCGTGTACAGAAGCGAGCCATGAAACAGAAATATGTGAAGGCACCGTACGTTCGCCATGGAATCCAGACAACCAAGAACAAAGTGCATCGTGATCGATGGGGTCCATCAGTGCACACACAGTTTTTTTATGACCGGATGGACAAGATCCTTCTCAATTGGTCTGGTCATGTCCTCGGAGTGGTCACGGCACTTTGGGCTCGTTGTCGTATGTCAAATCCAAGAAAGTATGGGGGTTACAGATGCGGACATCGTCGATGCCACAAGCTACTCTTGGCCCATGACTTCCACCCCATGTTTGTTCAAGGGCAGCGGGAATTCCATCACACGTCTTGGTCATCAGGCTGCGGCACTTTAAAAGCGCGGTTGCAGGCGTTGCCGCAAAGTCTGCGCATCTCATCCTCGACCTTGACCACAAAGCCATAGAGCGGGTCTACACAAATGTCGACACATTTCGAGCTCGTCATGTTCAGTTGAAGGAAACTTCCTTGAAGTTGTTTCGATTGCATCCCGCAAAAGCCGTCAAACGAGCACCATGGCCCTGGAGCTATGAGGAAGGTGGAGTGGAAACCCCTTGCCACCAAACATCTTGCAAACAGGAAGGTCGTCCTCCATAGCGATGGCGCCCTCGCCTACAAGCTCAAGGTTCCAGGGGTGATGCATTGCAACGTGGTGGACAAGAAGAAACAGGTGAAAGCGAATGGGAAGGCCGGTCGATATGTGAAAACAAACGTAAACAACCAGAAAACAATGAAAACCACCACAGGTTCGCTGGGTGAAGCCGCACTGCACGAAGGTTTACTCCTTGAAGTTGCCCACCGGAGACCTAGTCAAAGTCAAGAATGGCACTCAAATTATCGACCGTTTTGGGGATTGCTGCGGTCCCACATTAAACGCAGATCGCACCCCCAGTAGCCCACCTTCACCCGAAAGATCCGCTCAGTTTGAGTACTGGTTTCGCAGGTGCAATATGTGGAAAGTTACCGGCAAGATGCTGGACACCTTGTTCTGCGAATCCTGACAGAGACTGTTACGCATCATCCTGTCCATCATCGAGCTTCTCTGTTTTAACAAGTTTTTAAATATGTTAACCACGTTTGAAAACTGTAAAACTCTCAATAGGTTTTGAAGAATTTTTAAAGACTTTTGATATTATATTAGAATTTTTTGATTAAAAACACATATCGAATAAATATTTGCTTGTATTCGTCTTTATTTGTTTGGATTTGTCTCTATTTGTCCGGATTTGTCTATCATTGTCAATAAATGCCATTTTTTGACGCTTATTGTCAGTATTTGTCTTTATTTCTCATTACCTATTTGCATGGACTGTCGAAAAAACCTTGCAGATCTGGACCCCACAAACGGTCAATGATTTTTCTACTAATGACAAGTGTGTGTGCACGTAGATGTAAACAAGCATGAGATGGTATGTAGCCTGCA